GCACAGCCAGGGTGCTCAGCCCCCCTTGCAGATGCCCATATGCCCCACCCCCCCAATCCCAAACATCACCTAAGACAGCACCAGCCCCTGGCTGATCCCCGGGAGATGAGGCAGCATTGGAGCAAGGATGCAGCTGCAAGGAAGAGGAGCTCCAAGCCCTTGAATCCACAGAAACCAGGTTCCCACTGAGCCACGAGTCAGCTGGGAGCATCCCCTCTCCAGGGGACATGATGCTGCAGCCCCTGCTTCCCCTCTTCCCTGTCCCACAAGCGCATCTCCACGGGCAGTTTCAGCGCTTTATTGTCTGGCGGTCCTGCTACAGCACCCCCCTGTCCTCCCGTGGCTGCGGGGGGAGCCGCTCCCTCGTCCCCAGCGTGGCACCGCAGTGTCCCTGGAGCTGGAGGCTGCAGGAGCTGCAGCAGTCCGAGAACTGGCACTTAAGGAATCCTGGCTGGGGCTGCACGCTGCTCCTCGGCCGGGCACGGGGAGGGCGCGTGGCCGGGCATGGCTGTGGTCCGGTGCCTCTGGGCTGGCTCGCTCCACTTTGGGCCTCTTTTAAAAACGTGGTTCAAAAACGCCACCGACGCTGGGCTGCCACCAGGTGCTCGCAGCTTCGTTTTTCTTACAAAGAAACCAAACGCAACCTTTTCTTCCCTTTTATGAGCCGTTCTCGATTTTGGCCAGAAATTGCTGTGCCCACCACTCCTCCAGGTCGATAGGAACAAAGTCTGTACAAGAAGGGAGGGAGAGAAGGGACCGGCTGGAGCAGGAGCAGAGCTCTGGGTGCTCCCTTCCAAACCCCAGAAAAAATAACCATGGAATCACAGAATATCCTGAGCTAGAAGAGACCCACAGAGATCATCCAGTCCAGCTCCTGGCTGTGCACAGACACCCCAACAATCCCACCCTGGGTCTGACAGCTTTGTCCAAACGCTCCTGGAGCTCTGGCAGCCTCGGGCCATGCCCATTCCCTGGGGTGCCTGTTCAGTGCCCCAGCGCCCTCTGGGGGGAAGAACCTTTCCCTGGTCTCCAATCTAATGACACCCCCAAGTCTCCTCCATCCTTGTGCCATGTCCTCAAAAGGCCAGACTGGGTCTACGGGGACATTCTCTTCCTTGACATTCTCTTCCTGCAGGCTGCTGACTCCAGGTGCCACCAGACAAGTGTTGTCCCCAAGCCCAATCTGTCCTGCTGGCCCCAGGAGAAGCGGGTTCCCACGGGCGGCTCCTCTCTCTCCAGCATGATGCTGAATCCCCTGATGGCAGGAGAAGGCCTGAATCCCAGAGGAGTCAGCAGCACAGTGGGCCATCCAAGGGATGCAGTGGGACATCCTCTCCCCCCAGCACCCCCAGAGTGACCTCAGCACCAGGACAGACCCAACCAGCCCCTCTGGCACATCCAGCACTGGAATCCTCCTCCTCCTCCTTCCACCACAGCCCTGTTCAGGTGCAGGCCGAGCCCACAGCCACTCACTGCACCCCGAGCCTGATGCACCCCGAAGTGTCACAACCACTGCCCACTTACTTTTGAGTCCGGGGTTGGGGGTTTTCTCCACGTACTGCACGGGGCCGCAGGCGCTCTCCCCGCTCCGGCTGCCGTCCAGCTGCTGCTCTACCTGCTGCCAGGCTGGGGAGGGGGAACGAGCGCTGGGTGGGTTTGGGACGGGGTTTCCAGGGTGGGGGGCTGCTGGACAGGAGCAGGAAGCGGAGCAAAGGAGGGCAAGTCCCCAGGCTGAGGATTCCTTGCCTGCCACCGATGTCCCCAGCATGGTGTAGGTGCTGGGGAGGGGCTCCATCTGCTCCAGCTCCCCTGGGTGCTGTCCCAGGGACCCTCTGCCCTCACCTTCATAGACAAAGCGGACGTTCTCCTCGTGGGCCAGGGTGTAACATTCTTCAGGGGATGAGACCTGCTGCAGCAGCAGTGGGGGCCTCTTGCCATTCACTCTGTTGAAGACGAGTTTCTGCGCTGGGCTGTGGAGGGAGGGAAACAAGGGGCGGGGGGGTGAGGGCACAGGCAGCTCTGCTCACCCCAGCAAGAACTGGGGCAGTTCAGGTGTCCTGGGCTGCCCCACGGTGCACACGCTTGCCCACAGCTGCAGTCACCCAGCCCCGTCCCCAAGGAACTGGGATGGAAAGGGACCCAGCCCCCAGGGACAGGGGATTCTGACACAGGAGGGGTGCAAGGGGAGCTCCCTGGGGAAAAGCACCAGCTGCCCATCTCCTACCCATCCTCCAATCTAGCACCAAGTGCAGTCCCCAAGATAAAAAATCTGCCATCAAAATTGCAGGAATATCAGGAAATGGAAGTGAAATCCAGTAAGGTACTGGACAGGGGATGTGCCATCCTCTGCACATCAAGCACCCAGGTTCACTGGAACAGCTCTGGCCCCAGCATGGGGCACACAAGGTGCCCCGGGACTGGGATGTTATGCTCTGAAAAGTGGGAGGCTTCCTCAGAGCTGGGATCCCCTCCAGGGAAGGGCACTTCAACCACTCCCTGCCTGGATGCAGCAACATCCACCAGAGCTAAAGGCAAGACTTAGGACGAGATCTGGGAGCATGTTCAATGCAAACTCCAGTATTTCGGCTTTTCTACCCAGCTCTAGGGCAGGACACGTTTGCAACAGCCACGTTCCTCACGGGGCAAAGTCTAAGGGGCCCTAGGAGTGGGTTTGGAGGGCAGGAAAGACTGGGAGCAGGCAGCTCCTGCAGATCTGCAGGCAGGGGCTGGGGAGGGCAGTGACCCTCCAGACCCCACAGCCAGGGGCACTGGGCAGGCAGGAGGAGGGCAAGTGTGGCAGAAGCCACTCCAGTGAATTCCAGGGATCCTGGGAAGGAGAGAAACTGGGTGGCTAGGGGGGAGCTCATCCCTTTCTTGGAGCTGGAGAGGACGTGCAGAACCAGTGGGGTCCCACTACCCTGCCTTGGGTAGCAGCCCTCCAGTCGAGAAAGGGTCTCCCTAGGGATCCCATCACCACCTCCCAGCCCCTGGAATACTCCACAGCACCCCGCCAACAGCTCCAGGTATTGCTGCGGGACACTGGAATTCACCAGGAAGTGTCACCCCGGCTTCTGGGGCAGAGGGGAACAGCAGCTCCGCGTGGGCTCCGCGGCCCCCGCGGGTGCGCGGCGCGGCCAAGGCGGGCGGGACCGGCGCTGGCCCCGCCGCCCGGTTCGTGCAATCGGGGCCGTCCGCGGAGGGGCTGGGCAAGCCCGGCCCCGGCTCTGGCCCGCACCGGGACCCCCCCCGCACTCCCTCCTTGGCGTGACCCCACCGCTCCCACTCCCCACGGTTTTTGGGGATGTCCCGTGGGAAGGAGGAGGGGCAGCCACTCCGGCGTGTCCCCGAGCCGGGGCGGCCCACGGCACGCGTGCACAGAGCTCCGCGGGACGCGTGCGGGCACAAGCACCGCTGAGACCCCCGGGGCGAGCGGCACCGAGCGGAGACCCCGGCTCCCCCTCCCGCGTCCCGCCAGGCGGCCCAGCCGTCCCGTTCCCCTTCCCAAGGTCACGCCCGGCCGCCCCAGGGCCGGTCCCCTTCCCAAGGTCACGGCGGCGCGAGGCTCACCTGGCGGGGGGCCACTGCCCGGGCTGGGGTCGCCCCCGCAGCTCGCCCAGTTTGCTGCTCTCCACCGCCTGCTGCGTGGGACCTGCGGGGAGCGCGGGGCGTCAGGGGGCGGCGAGGGCGGCACGGAGCCCCGCGCCCCCGGCCCCGCGCCCCCCGATACCTGTGCGGCGCTGCGTGGCGAGCTTGCTGGGGCCGCGCGTCAGCGTGTACATCCTGCGGGCCCCGGCCCACGGCCCCGCCGCCCCTCTCGAGTGCCGCAAGTGCCCCTCGCCGGGGCCTTAGGCGGGCAGGGCCGGGCGGCCCCCCCAGCTCCGACACGCCCCCGCGCTTAAAGGGAACGCGCGGACGGCGGGGGGGACGCGCGGAGACAGCGCCCAGCCGCTCGGGGGGCGCGGGGGACACGAGCGGGACAGGTCGGGGGGACACGTGGGAGGCCTGCCGGGACACATGCGACACATATGTGCTGTGCGAACAGACATGTCTGGGTTGTGGGGACACATAGGGGACACGCACGGGATACATCGGGGGCGCGCCTGGGGATTAATGGGGACACTCGGAATGCAGGAACACACGCTGGAGACAAGCAGGGCACATGCTGGGAGCACATGTGGGACTTTCATGGGACACAGAGCGGACATGTGGGACGTGGGAGACACGGGACTCGCACAGTACACACAGAATGCACAGAAGGGACATTGGACCGTGCGGGGCTGAAGTAGGGGAGAGGGCACAGCAGGCACGTGGGACACAAGATGTCACAGGCGCGCAGGGGACACGGCAGTCACGGGAAACTTAGAGGCGACCTGCACGGGGACATTCAGGAGACAGGACACTGGAGCCACGGCACACACAGGGGACAGATAGGGGTCATTCCTGGGACACAGAGGACCCAGGCAGGGGAAAATGAAGGGGTGCAGAGGCAGGGGCTGAGGTGCCACCCCCACGGGGACAGCGCTGTGAACAGCCCTGAGCTGCACATTCCATGGGCCAGCGCAGGGAGCCGGGGTGGACAGCCGCGTCCCGGCCAGCACGGTGACCTTCGGAGTGGGAGGTCCCGCTGAGGTGTCCCCACGTGGCAGGAGGTGCAGACCCAGGACACGACCCCGAGCCGGTCCCCGGCTACCCCCCTGTGTCCACCGGCCGCCCCTGCGGCTGGCGACAGCACCCAGAGTTTTGGGGAGAGATCCAGTGACAAACGCACTGAGGTCTTTGGGAGGCTCCAGGGGCTGCAAAGCCACCCCACGAGGGTGACCTTTGCCTTTCCGCCACGTTGCCCCGGTAGTGGCTAAGGAGGGAGGGCTGTAGGAGGGTACCTCCCATAAAAGCCCAGCAGCGCCTGACTGCAATGGGTGGACCTTTTGCGGGTGTGCATCCACTGCTGTCACCCCCACCCCTGTTACTGTGCCTAAATACAACCCAGAGCCACGGGATGTCACCACTGGTTGTCACCCGCCCTGTAACGTGCTGGAGGCTGTGCCTCAGTTTCCCCCGGACTTGCCAGGGGTTTCTAAGCGCCTGTTGGCGCATCCCTGAGCTTTTCCATGCTCGGAAGGGTTGAACCCCTAATCCTCGTGCTCCAGATGGATTCCTCCGGACCTCCATCACCAGCGACAGCTGTCGAGGAAAGGGCCCCCGTTTTCCTGAGGTGTCCGCGCAAAGCTTCATGTGCCCCTTTTAGGGGGTGCCGGTGCGTGGCGGGGGAGCGGCAGCACTGGGACCGGGGGTGGGTGGCGGGGGGGGTCGGTCCCCGCGGGCGGTAGGTGTGAGGGGTGCCGGGGATGCGGCCTACCAGGCGCGCCGCTGGTGTAGTGGTATCATGCAAGATTCCCATTCTTGCGACCCGGGTTCGATTCCCGGGCGGCGCAGTTTCTTTTTTTCCCTCCCCTCCGCTTTTTCGCTCCGCGCCGTGCCGAGCTCCACCCGCGGCGCGGGGCGGTCCCGGCGGTGCTGGGAGCTGTAGTTCCCCGCCATGGAGGTCCCGGCGGCCGCGGAGCGGAACAAGGGCCCGATCCTGGCGGTGCTGCGGGAGTACGCGGCGCCGGGCGCGCTGCGGGTGCTGGAGGTGGGCGCGGGCGCGGGGCTCCACGCAGCGCACTTCGCGCGGGCGCTGCCGCAGGCGCGCTGGCAGCCCTCGGACATCGACCCCCGGGCGCTGCGCAGGTGAGCGGGGCCGGGGGTCCCGGGGGGACGGGGGACTCCGGTGGACCCCGGGGGCACGGCCTGCAGCCCCCTCCCACGGGCCCATGGACACGCAGCCCCGGTTCCCTGCTCCCCGTTTTATTTTTTTCTTCATTTAGATTATTTCCTTTGGGGATTTTGGGAAAACCGCAGTATCCAACTCTCCTGCAGCCCTGCAGTGCTTTGCTCCCTCCAAGAAAGCCCCAATATCCACCTTCTGGATGAACTGGATATGTATTTTTTCCCAGAAAAGACCCACTCAACAGTGGGCCCATGCTCCACAATTTTTTTCTTTTTTCAGGAAAAAACCCAATAGCCAAGTCTCCAGCAGTCCAGGCTTCCCCAGTCAGTACTGTATTCTTTCCAGGAAAACCCCAATATCCTTCTCTCAGATGAGCTTAATGTGTATTTTTTCCCAGCAAAACCCCCCTTGGGACAGCCCAGGCTCTCTGGCTTGATGTTTTATTTTTTCCAGGCAAACCACAATATTCAAATCTTGCCCAGCCCAGGCTCCCCAGGCCAATACTCACTATATTTTTTTTCAATAAATCCCCAATATCCAACTCCCAAATAACCATGCTCCCCAGCTCAGGACTTTATTTTTCCCAGAAAACTCCCAAAATCCAGCTTTCCACCACAGAAAAAAAAAAAATAATAAGCCTGGTGGGGATGTGCTGAAAGCAGCCCCTGTCCAGGAGGAGTTTTGTGCTGCCCACCCAGCAGCACCCACCATCTTGGGTAAAAATAATCTCCAGGCTGGCAGGCTGCAGGAGCTGAGACCTAGGTGGTGAATGTGCCAAAAAGGGTGTAAATAACACAAAAATCAGGAGGTGCTGGTGCAATGGTGCCAGTGGGGTTCCCCACAAGGGGAGAGTGCTCCAAAACTGGGGAGGTTTGGCCCTGAGGCCTCTGCATCCACATGCTGCTGGTTGTCCAGGTGCTTCCAGTTCTGCATCTGGCAGCTGGAAGCAAAGGGCTGGGCAAGGAGCCCCCAGGCTGTGCTGCACCACATCCCTTTGTGGGTGTTTTTCCACTTCTGGGAGTCCACGCAGGGCTTTGTCCCTGCCTGCCGCAGCTGCTGGGGGTGCAGGGGGACCCGTCTGGGCTTGAGCTGGGGTTTGGTGCCCACAGCATCGCTGCCTTCGTGGAGGCCACGGGGGTGCCCAACCTGCTGCCCCCCATCCTGCTGGACGTGTCACAGGGCTGGGAGAGCTGGGGGGACACCCAGCCCGCCACCCTGGACCTCCTCGTCAGCATCAACATGATGCACATCGCAGAGCTGCGGTGCACCCAGGTGAGCAGCCTCGACAGCCCCTGTCCCCTGCCAGGGCCGAGGGGGGCTCTGGCCCCGTGACCCGCTCCCCTCCTCTCTCGTTCCTCAGGGCCTCTTCAAGGGTGCCGGGGTGCTGCTCAAGCCTGGAGGTGTGCTCTTCACCTATGGGGTGGGTCACCTGTCCTGCTGCAGGAGCATCCTGGGGGGTGCAGGGTGTCAGAGCAGATACTGGGGGCAGTGGGAGGGCAGCTCCAGCCATGGCTTAGGGAGGGAGCTGGGAAATGCAGGGGCTTGGCTTTTGGGGGGTCTCTGCCTTTTGGGGCACACGCTGAGCCCTGAAAGGGGCGGTTTTGGAGGAGACAGATCCTGTCCTCCCTCACCTTATCCAAAGCAGGGTCTGGGGGTGCCTGCAGAGGGTGACAGGACTCACAGTGGGTGACAGGACTCCTTGGGGGCCGTGTCTCTTCCCACTTGGCTTCTCTGCTTCGTGGGGACAGCAGCCCGTGGAAAGGGGGCTGGGGTGCACAGGGTGGCTCCTGCCTGCAGCTCCAGCTGTGTCCCACAGCCCTACGCCGTGGATGGCCAGATCAGCCCCCAGAGCAACGTGGACTTCGACCGCAGCCTGAGGCAGAGGTAGGAGGGGGCTGGGGCGCTCAGGCTCCTGGGGGCCCATCCTGTCCTCTCTGTCCCGCCCCTGCAGCTGCAGGAAGCTCCCTCCCAGCGTGGTCCTTCAAGATAAGCCAGGCCTGAGGGCAGCCCCCCGGGGACGGGGCTGCTTTGGGTGTCCCCGTGGGTGACCCACGCCTCCCTCCCCGCAGAAATCCCGCCTGGGGGCTGCGGGACACGGCGCTGCTGCGGGAGCTGGCCGAGGCCAACGGGCTGTGCCTGGAGAGGATGGTAGGTGATGGGCCCGGGGGGCTGCCCGTGCCCGCCTGCACCCTGAGCCCGGCTCTGCTTCCAGGTGGACATGCCGGCCAACAACAAGAGCCTGATCTTCCGCAAGCTGTAACCTGCCCTGACAGCACTTCCAGCGCCTCCCACCACTGCTGTCCCCACTGATGCCTCCTGCAGGGTGTCACTGTCCCACCGTGGCTGCCACTGGGGCTGGGGACAGCGCTGATGGGACAGAGCCCCACTCACACAGCTGGGGCTGACTTGGCTGGGCAGGATCCATCTCCCCTTGTGCCTTTGGGGTTCCCTTTGCAGTGAGGTGCCCCAGCCTGGACCACAAGAGCCAGCACAGCTGCCATGGGGGGCACAGCTGTAGTGGGGGGACACAACACCCCTGGGCATGGGGGAGACTCCCTGCTCCATTTCCTCAGAGGATGCTGTGCTGATGGTGTCCCCCTTCCCCCCCTCCTCAGGACTGTGCTGCTGCCCCCCTAATAAACTCTGTGGCTTTTCCCCCCCACACCCCAGCAGCTCCCTGATGTTTTCAGCACAAACACTGGGGTTAAGGGTGTCCCCAGTTCCACCTCCAGCACCAATGAAAGGGTCAGGTCCAGCACCCAGGGGTGTTACATTGGGCCCAGAGGCTTTGGTGAAGTGGGAAGATTTTATGAGTGGGGTGGTCCCGGCAGATCTCCCACCCTTCTGCAACCCAACCCAGTTCTCTATTGCTCCTGGACAGTCTTGGGGTGGGGGGATCACACGGTGGGGGGAACATGTGGCAGATAAATTACAGTGGAGGTGGGAGCTGGTATGGGGCTCAGTATAGGAGTGGGGAGAACTACATGACAGTGGTAACCTCTAGACACAGGCGCTGGTGCAGGGGCTCCCTCAGGCTGTCCCCTCCGGGCTGTGTCTGCAGCTTCCTCCGTTGGCACATCCTGACTCTCCCCTAGTCCTGGAAACGGTTCAGGAGGTCGCAGGTTTTCTTCTCCATCAGCTCATAGATCTTCTTCACCCGTTTGTCGTTGGCTGCCCGGACATAGCTGCTGGGGTCCAGCGTGGCCATTCCATCGTGCACCTCGCCCATGATGATCAGGGGCCCGTCCTCCGCCGTCATGTTGGGGCAGGGGCAGCTCCAGTCCATGTCGGTCAAGGTTACTTCCAGGTACTTGATGTTGAAGAACTTGAGGCCCATCTTCTCATCCTTGAGGACGTCCTCGAGAGCGAAGCGGGCTATGCCGGAGTCCTGGTCCTCCACGATCTCCATGAGCCGCCCCACGATGGCGAAGTCGCTGCGGCAGAGGCTCAGCACCATCTTGCTCTTCAGGCGGCAGGCCTTGCACTGCAGGCTCTTGGGGAAGGGGCACACGTCCTCGCAGGTCTCCTTGCTCTCAAAGTTGTTGGTGTTGCCCTCGCAGCCGCCGTAGACGAAGGAGTGGCACTGCTTCAGCAGGTGGTTGTAGGCCCAGCGCGGTTCCCAGTTCTGGCAGGGCCCCTGCACCATGGGCAGGAGGCAGGTGGGGCGGGCGCTGCCCAGGCAGGCGGCTCGGCACTCCTCGTACGTCTCGAAGTGGTTCCTGTTGGCCCCGCAGCCGCCGTAGCGGAAGGTCAGGCAGGAGCCCTGCTTGGCATCAAAATGCCAGCGCACCTCCGTGGCCTCGCACCGCCGCCGGTCCGGCTCCTTCAGGCACTCGGAGCTGGGGAAGGGCTGGGGGCTGCCGGTCCGCGGGGTCCCCCCCGGCTCCCGCCTGAGCACCGACAGCGGGAAGTCGGCGCGGAGCAGCCCGGCGGCGTTCCGTGCCGTGCAGGTGTAGATGCCGGCGTCCTCGTGGCGGGCGTTGTAGATGACCAGCTGGCCGATATTGGTGACCACCACGTTGCCGTACATCTGGTCCGGCCGCATGATGAAGTTCTCCTCCCGCTCGCTCTGCTTCTCCCAGGTGATGTCGGGCTGCGGGCGCCCGCTCACGTCGCAGCGGAAGCTGACGGTGCCGCCGGCGCGCACGGACTGGTGGAAGGGGTTGGTGTAGAGGGCGGGGGGCACCGGCACCTCGGGGCCGGCGCCCGGCGTGGGTCGCGCCGTGGTCTCCTGCGGCACGGGGCTGGTGTCGGGCCAGGTGAAGATGTGCTTGCAGGGCACGGTGGTGAGGCGGGTGCCGCGCAGACACGCCTCGGCGTCCATGTAGCACTTGTTGTAGTAGGTGAGGCCGTCGGAGGCGCAAGTGAAGTTGGGCTCCTTCTCGCAGCGGTCCTTGCACTTGCAGACGGGCTGCCCGTCCCAGATGTCGCAGTCGGAGCCCTGCTGCGCGCACACGAAGCTCTCGCAGGAGGCGGCGGGCGCCAGCGCCAGCGCCGGAACGCTGCCGTCGGCAAAGCGCGCGGCCACGCAGCTCCGCAGCCCACACACGTTGGTGCAGCATTTCTCAAAGTCTTCGCAGTCCTGGTCGGGGAGGGAGAACAGATTGCGGGGGGGACGCTGGGGCTGTGGGTGCTGTTCCCACCCCTGTGGGACTTTAGGGTGGGCAGGTGTCCCCCGCTCAGCCCTGTGCACCTTCAGCGTCGCTGGGCTGCGGGTAAGAGCCACACCTCCCCGGCACAGCTGCACCAGCCCCAGCCCACCCTCAGCACCCCCAGGATGTTTGGGGGTACACCGCAGGGATGACGGTCCCTTCTCCCCACGGTACAGAGCAACGTGCCCTTCTCAGCTTTTGCTGGCCGAGGGGAGGCGGAATGCATACAGATGAATTGTGAAGGAGTCTCCCCTCGGGGTTCAGACAGCCCTAACCGGGGTGGGGTTGCCCCTGCTCAGCCTGGTGGAGCTCAGATCCAGGGCTCTCTGGGATGGACAGCCCGGTCCGTGGGTGGGCTCCGGCCCTCAAGGCAAAGTTGGGAGACGATTCTGTCCTCGGCCTGATAGGGTCCGTGTCCCAGCACACTCATTCCCTTCATCCCAGCCAGCCTTTTGACAGGATGGAAGCATCCTGGGGGTGCACAAGGAGGGCGTTCTGACCATGGGACAAGGTCTGAGGGGGTGACATGAGGGGGCAACAAGCCGTTTCTTTGCCTTTGGTTGAATGGAGAGCCCAGCAGACAGGAGGGGCTTAGGGGGCAAAGCTGCAGCAGGGCTGACCCCGTTGCTCTGAAACAACTGAACCGGCTGTGCCGCCCAGCACAGGACCCACACCCCGAAGCGTCTCCTTAGGGGACCTGGGGATGCCCCCCAAACCCTGTTACCGCCCGCCGCCCCCGCAGCCCCCCGCTCACCTGGTCGGCCTGGCACTCCCGCTCGCAGGTGCTCTGGGCGTCCACCCACAGGTTGGGGTTCAGCTGGTTGGGGCAGACGCCCAGGTGCCGCATCCTGCCCGGCTGCAGGCTCAGCCCGGCCGCCGCCGCCAGCACGGGCAGGAGCAGCGCGATGCCCACGGGGACCCGCTGCCGGCCCGCACGCTGGCCCCGGGCCCCGCGCCCGCCTCTCCCACGAGGAGCCATCGGGCCACCCCGCGCCGCCGGCCTGGCTCGCTGGCGAGGGCTCAGGATAAATCACATTCAGGACGGACGGGATGAGGGAGAAGGCGGGCGGGCGGGGGGACAAAGAGTAGGAGGAGAGGACCAAACCTCTGTCCTTCAGCACACCCGGCGCCCGCCGGACCACCGACGATGCCGCCCACCGCCTCCATCCATCTCCGCCGCTCGGCTCTCGGGGCGCCGGGGACACGGCGGCAGTGGCGGGTGGCTCTCGGGGCTCAGTCCATCCCCGGCACGGCCAGCGGGGCGAGTGGGGTGGAAGGGGAGGACGGGAAGGTTGTAATCTGAATCCCCTCCCTTCCCACTGATGTTTCTGGGTGTTTGGAATGGGAAAGGCGCTGACCTCAGCCTCTAACCCCGGCGAGCCCGGCGATCCCTGGGCAAACACGGGGGGAGATCAAAGGCAGAATGCAGAAAGTCTCCAAAGAGGGAGAGTGAAAGGGGGGGCGGGGGTGAAAGGGGGGTGTGGGGTGGGGGTGATCTGTGGCTCCTTGGGGAAGCCCTTTTGCCCCAGTCCAGGTCGGGGGACCCTCAACACCCCCATGCTGGTGTGAGCAGGGTGCAGCCACAATGCTCTGGCACGATGATGTCCAGCCAGTAGCACCAACACAGTGCTGTGACCGGCCACCCCTGCCCCTTCCCTGCCCGCCAGCACACGGCTGCACTGCTGCTGGCTCTGGGCTGCCCACGGTGATTCTGGGGCTCCCCAGGGCCCAAAACCCCAAAGCACAGCCAGGTCTGTCACCAACTGGCCATGACCATGCATGGAGGGCTGGAGTGTGTCCCATGGCTGTGCCCTGAATCCCATTCCTCAGCCAAGCAGGCACCCAAGGGTCCATCCAGCTGCAGATGCTGAGGGAAGGTCATGCTGCCCTGCGACACTCACGGGGAGGCTGATGTTCTACAAACAGGGAATTGCATCAGGCTAGCTCAGCCAGGAGCTGCCAGGGCCTGTACCTGGCAGCCTGAAAGCCCCAGACCGACCCAGCCGGCCCCAGGCACTCGCTGCCTGGAGATCCCCGATCCACAAACCCACGAACTCCAGCTGGGAAGCAACGTGGCAGATGCATGGCACCTTGGTCCCCAGGGCTGCAGCCCAGAAGCACACGGCCACTTTGGGGTGTCCCAGGGTCCTTCCAGGGGGGTGGTGCAGGAGGGAAGGGCAAACAAGACCTGGAGCCCAACTTCTGCCCATACCCATGTCTGAGCTCTGTGTGGTCACAGCATGAAGCCAGTGCCAGGCTCTGGGTTGGTTCTTGCCCCACTGCCCTTTTCCACACCCAGAGGAGCAGCGCCAGAGGGTGGCAGGTGTCTCACACCGGAGCCTGAGGTGCCTCATGCCTGTGCTCTTAAGATCAGCAGCTGCAAGGACAAGCCAGGAACCTTCATCACAGTGGTGCAAGGCTGGATGGAGAAATGGCAGCTGCTGCATGGCTAGAAAAGCAGCTCCCAACAACTGGAAATCCTCACCCACACCTTGGGACCCCCACCCAGCCTCTTTTAGTGCTTCTTCAGCTGAAGGTGAACGACAAAGCAACTCTTCCCACACTGACCAAGCCCACAGAAATTCCACCATCTCAATAGTTCTCAGCTGTTCACCTCCATGTGTCCAGGCATCAACTGCACACTAGAACAGGGATTTTTGGGTCACTTTCAAAGATCCCGGACATAGATGAGGGTTTTATGGTTCATCTTCTCTCTCCAAGACAAGGAATTGGCTCAGCACTGTGTCCTGGAGGAAAGGGTGCTGTGCCCTGCTCCCAGAACCTGCGGCACCCAGCAGGCTCCTGCCCCTCCAAGGCACCCATGGGCAGCTGCACCCTCATTTCCAAAAATCTTGCAAGTTGTATGAAGGTCACCACCTCTTCGAAGCCTATGTGGGACAGTGGGACCAACCCAAGAAACCTCACATCAGAAAGATGAGTGCAGAGAAACACACTCAGTGACCAAAGACCTGAATCATCCCAGAGCAACCTGCTCCCTCCTTTCTTGGAGGAGCAGAGAGCCTTGAAGCCCTCGCAGCCTTCCCACCCCGCTCAGGCTGTGCAGTGTTTTCCTGCCCAGCTCTTCCCAGGCAGACAGCTGCGGCCCCGCAGCCCCCGCTGCTCCGCCGTAATGGGCTCCGGCTGTCCCGACCCCACCTGAAACCACACACAGCCTTTGTTTCGGCCCTGGGAGAGGGAACAGACACTTCCAGAACCCCCTGAAGAAAAAGAGGAAAAAAAAGGGCTGTGTGACTCTTCCCTGACCAGGCTTTCACCTTAGCTCCAGGGTTTTCCAGGCTGCAGACACGATCTCATTTCCCTTGCCCCCTCCCAGCCCCAGCAATTACTACTTAAGCTGTTAAAACAAGCGTGGCCAGTCTGGTACGAAGTGGAAAATCTGATCCTAGGGAAGTGAGAAGGCAGGGGAAAAGGGAGGTCAAGGGGAGGTGGGCTGGGAGAAGGGGATCAGACAAGAAGTCTCCCTCCAGCCCAGGATCAAATGCCCCTTCTCTGGGGCTCCTGGTACCTCCAAAGGCCACTCTGGTGTGACACTGGTGCTCCGAGCTCCCTGCAGCATCCTCTCCCTTTCAGTCCCATTTGTCCCAGGACGGCTTTCAGCTTGCTCCAGTCTGGTCTGCCACAGCACTGGCTACTCCCACAGGATCATCCAGATCCAAAGAAGGGATTTAGGGTTTGACTGTACTTGTCCTGCCCTGTGGAGCAGGGACTGGGCACAATTCCTGGTGAACTGTTGGAGAGCGTGGCTTCCTCCAGCCACCTACAGGACCAGCCCTGCTAGAGATGAGTTTGTGTTTTCTTAGGGCTCCATTACCCCAAATCAGTGATTCTGTGAGAATCAAGAACAGATTTATCCTCTGCATCTACAGAACAGGAATCATGGCTCCCCAGAAAATAATTCAAGTTATTTTGTGGGTGACCTAGAAACGGGAATATACACCTGTAACACAAACAGTCCCAAATCCCCAGGCATGGGCAAAACCACCAGCTTTTTCCCTTCAACCTCTTCTGAGCCCACACAAAAACGGATACAACTTCTCCTCTTTTCAATTGGTAGTTCAAAACAAACAAAAAGACTTTAATTTATACAAAACAAAACCATGTAGAATCAGTTAAACAACACTGACTGTACAAAGGAATAAAAAAATAAAAGGATAGTCCAAAAAACCAACTCAGGAATGGTACAAGTGTTGGAGAGCAGCTACAGACTAGTGTTGACACCAGATGCAAGAATCTTTTCCTTTTAAATTAAAAAATAAAAAAAGTTTGTTGCTGGGCAATCACTCCAGGGAAATCCTCCATCCCCACTCCAGACAGGAGCTGTGAGACTTTACAGGGTGACAAAACCTAAACCAACCACAGGGAAACAGCATGGGGAGGTGGCACATGTGGCACAGCCAAACCAAAGCAGAGGTACAGCGAGTTTTGAGACATGCAGCAGCTTGGTGATTCCAGGAAGGATCCCTTTCTCCCTCTCTGTCCCACACACCGGCGCCGGGCCCGGGGTGATTCCTGCCCTTGGCGGTGCCGGTCACCTGTTGGCCGTATATCCCTGTGCTGCTGAGCCAGCGATTGTCTTCTGCTGCGTGTTAAGTGATGGGAAACAGGTGCCAGCCATCCAGACAGGTTCTCCAAATCCCCTGGCCTTCGTGCCACCAGGACAGCCCGGCTGCGGCTTTGCTCTTGAGCCAAAGCACCCCTTCAAAGGATTCCTCTCCCCCTCCACCTGCCTGGGGTTTAATTCTGTCCTCGCTCACTTGAGCTGGGTGATAAAGCACGAGAGAACCGAGCCAAGAGACCTGCCTGCGCTGTGCTCTGCAGGGAGGGGAGGGGGAAGCCTCCGGCACCCCCCAGGTCGGCTTGGGAGCAAGGGACGTGGTGTCCCCACAGGGGGACGCGTCCCTCCTGTCCCTGCTGCCTGGACACAGCGGGTCCGTCGGCCACTGCAGCGGCTTCATTCTGCCTACGCGGTGCCCCAGGCTGCCTGGAAAGGGGGAGCAGAGCAAGCGATCCCAGGAGGAGATGGCAGCACTGTACACTTCACTTGCTACCACGCTATCACAGTCTACACACCCTGGCCACCTATGAGAACCTGCCACCATAGCCCAGCCCCACTGCCAGGCTCCCTTAGCTTTTGGGATAAGGGCTGGGTGCTATTTCTCAGCTTGCAGGTGAATTTCCAGCACAGATCAGCTGTGGAACAAAGCCAGAGAGGCAGGTGCACTTGCTTGACAGAAGATCCATCCCAAGCTATTGCCCCTCCAAGATCCAGGAGCCATGCCATGGAGCAAAGCAGTTTGCTCTTCCAATCTGGGATTGCTCCAAGAGCCAAGTGATTTTGCCACTGAGGGACCTGGAGATCGCCATTTCCTCACCCCAACCTTCCACCTTCCTAGTCCCTGCTCCTTCATGCTCCAGTGGGAAAAGCCACTTCTGTCCTTGCCCACTTTCATCCAGGAGGAGCCACAGCAGCGTGAGCTCAGGCAGCATCTTTGGGAAAGCAAAGCTGGAAGCAGCCAGGATCCAGGAGCTGTCACATGTGGTGCTGTCATGGATGGAGGGCACTAGAAGCAATGGATGAGACTTTGCAACAATAAGGGACAAAATTCAGCATTTTTCCTCTGCTTTAGGCACAATGCTTCCACCGCCTGCTCCCAAATCCCCAATGAGAAAGCACAAAGTGAGCAAGGCCTCAGTCTGACCCCAGAGCTGCCTCTTCCTCCTGCCTGCCAAAACACTCCGACCCCCTAGGACCCTGGCCTCACTGCTCTGCTTCTCCATGCACTGCCATCCCACCCTGCCTTCAGCATTCACAGGTTCTAGTGAATGGTAGGAATAGAGCAGCTTGGGGCATGTTCCACACCAATCGTCCTTTTTTTCTGCACATGTAGTATTTAAAAGCACCAGCATGAGTCCAGAGGTGAGGGAAAGTCTCTTAAAGCATTTATGTGTTTTCATTGG